CAATATATCACTACTACTCCTTTCAAACCAAACATCCCTTATTCACTGCCACAAGTTTTCCTTTTTTTACAATGTTTGGTCTCTTCACTTCTCTCCCTCTCCAACTTAAAAAAAATTAATTTTGAAATTATTTGGAGTTTTAATTATTTATTTGGAAATTAAATGACATATTATGTATGATTTTAGCGATTTATTTTCGAAGTCAACGTATCAAAAAACCAACTTGGCCCTTGCCTTGTCATCGTATTGTTCCAAGTACCGAGGTTTGTTTAATCTTTAATGCAAATGGGGTTTCGCTTTTTTTTTTTAAATTCGGGGTGGGTGGCCCCCACTTTTTGACTGACGTGGACAACATGTCATTACCATATCCGTCCTAGTTGGCACCACATCTCTTCCTCTGGTCAAACTCGTTGACTGGATCTCAATCCTCCAAAAGCATCGTCACTTTCTTTTAAGAAATTTTCTAGTAGGAGTATAGGTACTACTCGTTTTATTTTCAAGTATCATTTAAAAACGAATGGCAAGAACTAACATAAAATAAGTAGTTATAAAAATAAAATTATAATGTGAACAAAGAGAGTAGATATTCTCATAGTACTGTAAATTTTCTCTCATCCTCGTGATAATGTCTCGTTCTTGCCTCTTCTAAAAAACTTATAGAGAGGTGCATATGGAAGAAATTTTTTCCATTATGTTAATCCAATTTTGTTTGCTCACTAGAAAAATACTTTTTTTTATTTTAGTTCATCAATTAAGGGACGAGAGAAAGAATTATTGACTTTTGAGATGATAATAGATATCATATCTACACTCAAAAGATAGCTTATTTATTCATTCAAGGAAGAAAAAACTTGTAACAGAGAAATAGTTATTCAAAATTACACTCAAAAGCAACATTGTCGAGAATATTTGATGACAAAAACCGACAAAGTATTCAATTTTTACATTTTGCTCCCACCATAATCGTTAGTTACATATGAATCAATGATAATCAAAGGGTCTAGTCAAAAATTAAAACTTTTCTCCTACCTTTTCAGTTCATTTTAATATCATGTTGTGAAGAGACAATATAATACACCAAATTATAAGACATACATATCATGTAGATACCATATACATAATTGCTAAGAAAATGAGGCATTATTTAGGAGAAGAAGAAAAATAAAATAATAATAATAATAATGCAAGAAAAACCAGAAGCAAAACCCCACAAATAAAAATGAACAGAAAGGGCAACACAAACTTTTTGGCATGGCTTACATGTAAAAGATGGAAGCTCCATCAAATCCAATTTCTTCATAATGTTTTTTCCTTCCTTCTTCTCGACACGTGGCAAAATGGGTCTTTTTATTTTTAATTTTTAATTTAAGAGGAGTCAAAATTGTAAGTTGATCAATCATTATCTAATAAAAAGAAAAGGGAATGGGAGTTTGGGTCAGTTGTTTGTCTGAAGGGCAAAAAAAGGGAAGTCTAAATTAAATGTTAGTGAGAAGTGTGTATATGGTGGGGTTTAAGAATCATAAGGAGTGTGATTTTGGGGGTTTTGAGAAGGAAATGCGAATGACATAGCACATGACCTTAATAAAATTCAACATCCCATATGGGAAGAG